ACGACGCTTTGGTTTCGCCACGACCACAATCGACGACCGCAACGTCAAGTGAAGAGGAAAAGTTTTTACAGCACGGCAGTAGATGATGATAGGGCACCTCACTGTCGCGCATCCACTGATGAGCAGTGATCTCTTTGAAGGTAGGTCGACTCTCGGGATCAAAAGCCAAGCATCGACGTATAAGGTCCTGACATGCTAAATGCAGAACAACGATGAACAATGAAACTCGCAAACAAAAACGCTTATCTTACATTTGGAAACATGAGTTCGCCATATTAGCTTTCCCTGTATGATTTCTTCATCGCGATGATACGGAATATCGCCGCATACCATGTCGTACAAAAGGATGCCTAGAGACCAAACAGCTGCAGATAAGCCGTGATACCGACTTCGGGTTACCCATTCGGGAGGGCTGTACACTCTGGTACCTAAAAGGAACGAAACAAATAAGTTTAATATGCATAACGGGTGAACAACAGTTTTCAAAAAAACTAACCTAAAAAATTTTACTACAGAAGAGAAAATTCAGATTCATCTAGAACACTGCACCTGGACGCTTAGCAGCCGAAAACCTCGAATATGTAGTGACTTGAAGAGGTAATTAAATAAATGATTGGCCTAGTCTCGTAATTCTGTACGTCAATCTTGGGCTTTACGAACAATTTCAGTGATAGAGCATGGTGTCTATGTGTGTGTGCACACCTGAAGCAACCATGGCAGCCATGAACGAATTGTATGCTGTCTTGAACTTCAAAACCGCTGACTACACTTTTCTGGTAACTGAGCTAGACGCGGAATAAAATGAATACAATTGAAAATTTTTGGAAATGGACCAGCAAAATCACTAAACTCGACATTTGTCAGTTTTTTCATAAGACATATCATCATGAACATACTAATAGCAACTACGGTAAAACAGTACTACGTTGAAAAGGCTCTGTGATACTTTAGCTTCGTTTTGTAAGATCATACACACCTAGCACAAACCTGGTTCGTTTCAGCAGCGTACGAATAACGTACAAAACCATACCTTCAAAATCCGTATACACGCTTTCTTTGAGAAATGCACCGGAACCGAAATCTATCAACTTCAACTGGCCGGTTTTTACACTAACGACCAGATTTTCATCTTTAATGTCGCGATGAAGGACGCCGACAGAAGCACAGGCAACGACTGTTTCCAAAACCTGAAAAATCAATGAGTTGCAGGGCACCCTAATAAACTAATTAATCAATCGATGATAATCGCTCACCTGTTTGAAAAAGCACCGTGCAAGACGTTCCTCTAAAGCTCCTTTCTCGGAAATGTAGTCGAACAGATCCGTACATGGTGTGGGGCGTTCCATGATGATCAAAAAACCGTCAGGTCGCTCGAACCAATCGATCAGTTTGATAACGCCAAGCAAGTGCCTGATGTTGAAAAGCAAGCATATTTCCAATGGCACTTTGCGACCGTCCAAGGTACCCCAAGCCGCAACACTGTCGCGCGAGACGTATTTAATCGCCACGGGCAAATTGTCCCTCATTCGGACACCTGCATATACGGTACCGAATCCACCGCGGCCTAACTCTACTCCAATTTTATACATCTTCTTCAAAGCTTCAGAAGCTAAACAAGAAAAACCACAATCAATTCAGTTGTCGATGATAATGCTTTACGATTTAAGCAAAAACAGTACGAAACTAAATAGCGACAGGACTAACACCAAAAATTCCTCAACTAACCTCAAAACTTGACAGAGTAAAACTGTAAAATTTAAAATCGGTCAACGAACTTTAAATAATCAAAACCAAAAAGACCAACGAGGCAGCCACTACCGGACAACGAGTCAAGGTCGCAACCAGCTTTCATGTCGTGTGTCATAGTCAATGCGAAAACAAATGTCAAACGACATGACCAAGGCGACCATCACATCGTTTGTTGCTAACAAAGCAGATCGGTTGAAATGACAGCTCGTCACTTCTTAAAACAGATTTGACCTATCGGAATACTCGCGGTTATTGTTCTTACATAACATAACACAGTTCGAGTTTGGCCATCGATTAGACGTCATTGTACAACTGCTGGTCAACCAGAAATAATGTCAGGCACATCAACGATATGGGGCTACCGGGATTAGATGGAACCTATTTGACTTGTTGACCAGCATTAAAGCAGTTCCAGAAAATAACGCGAATATTTTTTTATATTGAAATCGTGTTGTTTACGATAGCCTCAGTTGCGCAGAATTTGATGCTTAGACTTAACTGCACGGCTATCGCTTCTTTCATGCAGCCGAAACAAAAAAAATGTGCACTGTTTCTTATTAGAGATATGCTCATCGTTACACTAATATACCAATATACTAATGACTTTTACTTCGAAAGTATGTAAACAAGCTCGCGATAAAAGCAAATAAATAAACAACGGTTAAACGCCTAGAAAACATTTACTAAATGTATCTGAACTGAAAAAGGAATCCTGAAAAGTTCTGAGTTCCGAAAGCTCCCTCCACTTATTAAACATCTTTTCCTAGGCTCCAACCGTTTAATTAACCATTAAGACTACAGGTTCGTCGTTCAGGGCGAGCTACCGCTCAAAAACTGCAAAGTACGACTGACCAAATGATTTAATTCAAAACGATAAATGTAAAACAATTTATCATATTAACGAATGATGGATGATAATAACTGATAACCGATATTTGTACGTGTTGATTGGCGTCATTCACAATAAACCAGTGAAATTTTCATAACAATCTGACAAACATGACAGATGAGACTAAATAATTAATAAATATCCTATGGAAAGGGTGCCACATGAAATTAAAATTTAAACTGTAGAAAAGGGTGGTCTAAACAACGCATAACTATGTCGTAGTAGCGAAACTAAATGAAGGTCGAACCTTAGAAATGGAAATTTAGAGGTAAAATTTAAATTAAGACCTTGAGAACACGGCTTACAAAGAACCTTTCGAGATCATAGAGAATCATCATCAGCCTGTCTCGCGCCCGAATATGCGTAGTGGAAAGCCAAGTAATATGAACTTCAGACGAAAGCTATGTAATGCCTGAGAAGCACTTACGAAATAATAAACTATAAGTTTTATGACAATTAAAATCGGTGTAAAGCTGAAAACAAGTGTTCATTTCAAACAAATTTTGGAATGTTTTTGCCACATTGCAAACAGAATCAAATTTTATAAAGCAAATTACTTTTCTCGTTTTTTCGTGCTTCACCTCATTTCCTTATCACTTCGCAGAGTGCCTGAGTTCAAGACTTAATGCTGCGCCTAGATAAGCAAAAATGTGGTCGCTGTTTTGCATGAGTACACTCCAGGTGCTAAAACACCATGGAGTCGTAGCTTGCTTAAGTAGCCCCCTGCGCTATTAAAATCAGTGGGACGGTGCGACTATACCATGTAAAAACTAAAATAGACGGGAGAAAATCTAATTTCGTAAGGAAAATTTCAGTCAGAAAAAATCTGAAACTTCAAAAAAAGCTCCTGCTTTTTATGGGGGGGAGAGAGAGGAGACGTTTGATTTTTTCTCTTTCGAAACATCGAAAATCGCTCAGTTTTAGCTCAGTTTTAGCACAGGTTCGTGTTGGAAAGCGGATCATAACTAAATTGCTATTCACCTTCGATTATAATATTTCAGTACCATACAAAATGCATGACTAAACACTGTGGGTGTATGAGACGGCATCAGAGAAGATGGCCACGTCGGGTGACGATTTTCGTCTCAATACTCTTTCAGTTGATACCACTACCATAAATGCTGACATTATGGAGAAAGAAGGTCAAAACTCACCTATCGTCCTGCAGTAAGGGCATCTCAATGGTCGACCGTCGAAAGATCACGCGGCTGTCC